GGGTTTTCCCCCCCCCCCCCCCCCCTAAATCCGCGCCTGAATGACTTTAAAAAGATAAACTGAGGCAAGTCTGTCTCCCGATCTCATAGGAAAGCATGAGGGCCTATGAAAACGTTTTCGTGCTCAAACTCGAGTCGATACTTGTGATCTTTTGTATAACTAAATGTCTGGCATCGGAATAACAACATTAAAGATGGGAATCAGCTATTCTTATTAGCCTGCTAAGTTATTTTTTTCTCTCGCTCAGTTGTGATTCGGAAATGGGAGGGATACATCATAATTGAGGTATGGCCGATATCTACAGTACAACAGATGGTTAAAAAGAGTTGAGTTTGGTGTGTTTGCTAATAATTACTTGAACAACAAAGTTGATCGTTTAACTAAAATGCTGTTCATAATTACTCTATCCCAAAAAATCACTGGCAAACCGCCCACACAAATCGGCCATTGCGTGCCCAATTTATGGAATAGTCCATAAAGGGGTGTTTTTTCGAACAGTAATTTGTGTGTTTTCTGAAACTTTACTAACATAAAGAAAACATTAACGTATTATATACGATTTTTAAAAGACCAAAACGAAAAAAGCACATCAAAGTTCTTTATAAACACTCGAAAATAATGTGTCCATCTCTCACAACTATCTGAACAAGGGGCACCACTTATGTCTCATGACCGAAGTACAGCGCATACCATTAACTACATAGCCGCGACCAAATATAGTACATCCGGTTGCTCTGAGCGCATATATATGTTCTTCGATTTTTATTTAAGTTTTCATTGGAAAATGTAAATCTGAAATGTGTGTTCAAATCAAGATATTTATTTTTGCATAACTTTGAGATAAAATGAAAGACGCAAATCACTTACGAGAACACACGAAAAAGTAGTTCTCTATATTGGATGAAATGACGTCATTCTATATTCATCAACCAATCAAAAGTACGAATTATGGAAATCCGACTGTATGAATACAATGTTATACGGTCTTGTTGTTCAGGATCGTGACGCTGCTGTTGTATTTTGACGTGGCGACTACGTATTCTGCAAATTTATCCACTCCGATTGCTGCAAAGTTGGTGACGAAAAGTACGTAACTGGTAAGTACTCGATTGACGAAACACAACAATCAAGCGTGGTGTCAAACATGATACCTTCTCAGTGGACATTATCTGTCAAATTCAGCAGAAATCGGAGGTTTGAAAATGTTTCGCCGAAGGAAATTTTTCTAGTCGATGGCTAAACATGAACTTGTTAAGCACCGACTTTTGCCGGGAAGTGTTCTGCTAACCTACGGAGATTCCATGAATGGGACATTATAAATAGGTACGCTTCGTTACGTTGTCTTTACTACGTCAAAGACATCATCGGGTGCTTCCCTTATTTGGGGATTCCTATCAAAATATTACTTTAATTTTAGGCCGTTGTAAACTGAAATCATATGAGTACACACCTTATTTACACGGAATCTGAACTTGCACAATAAACACAATTTGATAATGGAATTTTGTGAATGATTAAAAATGACGATATGTGAAGATAATTACTAATATTTTGAATCTCGACCTAGATATGTAAGTCTTAGATAAGCGAGCACTGTTTCACAGCAAACAAACGCCACAAATTAAATTGGATGGATTAAAATAACAAATGTATATAAGTACAACGAAAATCATAATATTTACACTATTTGTTTTGCAAAAAAAAATGTAAATATTCATAAACTAGACACGTTTTTTGTATGGAAATAAGAAGTGCCAGTTATAATTCAGGAAATAAATGGATGGTGCTTTAACTTTGCAAAGACGTGACACTCTGTTTATTATTAATCAAGAATGTTATATGTTTATTATTAATTAAGAATATTATATCCTGTTATTGTTAAATATATATTCAGAGAAGAAGCTCTGTAAACCCCCAACTTTGTTTCTGTCATTTCCTTTAGTTGAAAAAAGTATTTAATTCATTAGCTAAAATGATAATTATTTATATGGCATTATGTTGTTGACAAGCAGAAGACAGTTTTAGATATTTTTTTGTGTATGGCACTGTATGACATATTGTGTTGTTTAGATGTGATGCCCCTAGTATTAATACCCGGCCTCCTCTGACGACGCAATATATAAAAAAAAAATCTCGTCGTCAGAAAGCTACATTATCCCTACAGCTATGATGCCCATGAGTAGTTAATCAAAATAATATCTTTGTCAATTTTAATTTTATAAAACCGTATTTTCTCTTACTAGTGTCCCTATTTTTTGTAATTTGACATGTATAAGTACCCTTTTCCCTCCATTCTGTTCCTCTCCATTTAGCAAAAGATCTGTTTTTATATTATAATTAACTACCAGCCCATCAATATTGATTTAGACTTAGAAAATCATGGTTGAAATGGATGTGTTTTTATTGTGAATAGTTATAAAAATATATGCATCTGTATTAAAAAAATAGTTTTATGTGGTATACATGGGAGATTGGTCTTGACTTAAACAATGCTTCTTTGAAGACTGCCTTTAAAAGTTAAGGGTAGGCACAGCAGTTTTGTGTAGGTAGGGTTACCAGAAACACCAAATATTTTTTGTTTGGTCCTAGTGTCCCAAAAATGAAAACAAAAAAATTGCAGTAAAACTCTCGTCTGAATTTGAAGCAATACTTTCGAATAGCATGCAACATTTTGGCTAAACTTAAAAGTGACAGTGAAACAGTCTCTGAATAAAAACAAAGGTGTCAAACCATACCTTACAGATGTTTATGATGATTTGGAACAAATTCCTTTCAATATATGACCATTGTTACTGTTAGCCTTTGTGTAACAGAATTAATTGATACATTAATGAAACATTAAAACTGAAAATAAATGTTACTTAAATATTTTCCAAATCAAAGAAAAACGGTCAAACCAGCACAAAAACAACAGTCAAACCCTGGCCACCAATAATACTTTCCCAACTACTAGGACAGTCAAACGTCATAATTTCCGAGTTTTTAGACTCTCCTTTTTAAAAAAGAGATATATGAGCCCAGGGCTAAGATTCTTAAAACCATTCTGATGCTGAAGCATGGATTTTGTGCTCAATCAAGCTTTCTTATAACTCAACCTTAATCATGTCAAACAATCAAAAAGTAGAATAACAGTTTTCATCTATAAGTCTATCTCTAGATCTAGATCTCTTCATATTTTTGTTGTTGTCCATTTCATTGAGATTGGGCTTGAAATATATCTAAAAAAAATGTTTTTTGTTTTTTGTTTTGATATATATTGTTTTTTTTTGTAGCACTTCAGATGTTTTTACAGCCTTCTTCGAAGAGGATGTCAGAGAATGTACATTCTGATGACATGGATGGAAATTCTGCTGCCATTTCTGTGGTGCATATGCCATCTCTGAATCAGCCAGTTCAAGTGCAGTCAGTCATCCACTCGAACCAGCCGTCCGTCATACAGACAGCTGGTCCCAACATACAGACAATTCAAGTTGTCCGAGTAAGTAGTAATCCCAGGTCTTGGACATAAAACTGGTCTAAGTAAAAGATTAAAAACCCAATTAAGTCTATCTTACAAAAGACATGAGAAACTTCACTGGGCTTAATTATTTTTTATACTTTTAGGGGTGTAAAATTTCACAGAAATACTAGCCCACAGGTTGGTTAAAACAGTTCTACTAGCTCAACCTGTAATGTTTTTACAGGGTTTTTGTCAGGTATTTTGGGAAGGGTCCCTGAGCAGGAATTGGGAAAATGTCATTGGCATTTGGCAACAATTGGGAAATTTCATCAATGTTGCCACATGTACAGGTTTGGGAAAATATCATAAGTTTGTAAAAAAATAACACCTGCAATTTGATTAGCTAAAAGTTTTCCACTAGCTGTTTGTTTCAGTAAAATGTATTATAGCAATAAATAAACAAATCAGTTTTCTGTGTTTTGTTTATTCAATTTCAAATTTTCGCTATTTATGTATTTTAAACGCTTTGAATGTTGCACACATTATGACTGGAAACTTGTATCAATATGTTTTTTAATCCATTTTGGGAAAATGCAGGGTCATTTTTGTGTCGCCTACGACGGATGTCAAAAAGACACAGGCGTTGCTTTCTGACGGCGACGGCGGCGTCAACAATGTTAAGGTTTTGCGTTTAGCTCTGTTTCTGACAAATCTACACCAACAAAACCTCGATCATAGATGAAGCATGGGTAGTGGAGCCTACTGCACTAAAAACATTTCATTGATTTCTGCATTTTTTTGGTAAAAACCTCAAATTTCTGGACTTAGAAAAAACCTCATCGTTAAGGTTTTGCGTTTAGCTCTTACATATTAGGCTGTTTCTGACAAAGTATAAATGCAAGAGCAACTAAACTTGGGTCATAGGTGTATCATGGGATGTATAGCTGAATGCATTACACTCTTTACCAGCATTCCATTGATTTCTGTAGTTTTTGACTAAAAACCTCAAATTTCTTGACTTAGAAAAAAACTCAACGTTAAGGTTTTGCGTTTAGCTCTTACATATTAGGCTGTTTCTGACAAAGTATGAGAGCTACACCAACCAAACCTCAATCATACATGTATCATGGTGAGTAGAGCCTACTACTCTAAAAACATTTCATGAATTTCTGCACTATTTCGGATAAAAACCTGAAATTTCTGAACTTTAAAAAAAACAATGTTATGATTTTGCGTTTAGGTCCGTTTCCTTATGTAACAGGTGGGTAGTCCAGATTGTGGTTCCCCGTGTAACCGGTGGGTAGTCCAGATTGTGGTTCCCTTTGTAACCGGTGGGTAGTCCAGATTTTGGTTCCCCTGTTTATGTGTTACTGGTGGGGGGAAATTGAGACATGTTCCCTGTGTAACAGGTTGGTAGTCCAGATTTTGGTTCCCTGTGTAACCGGTGGGTAGGCCAGATTGTGGTTCCCTGTGTAACCGGTTGGTAGGCCAGATTGGGGTTCCCTTTGTAACCGGTGGGTAGTCCAGATTTTGGTTCCCTGTGTAACCGGTGGGTAGGCCAGATTGTGGTTCCCTGTGTAACTGGTAGGTAATCCAGATTGTGGTTCCCTGTGTAACCGGTTGGTAGACCAGATTTTGGTTCCCTTTGTAACCGGGGGGTAGTCCAGATTGTGGTTCCCTGTGGAACCGGTGGGTAGTCCAGATTGTGGTTCCGTGTGTAACCGGTGGGTAGTCCAGATTGTGGTTCCTTTTGTAACCGGTGGGTAGTCCAGATTGTGGTTCCTTTTGTAACCGGTGGGTAGTCCAGATTGTGGTTCCTTTTGTAACCGGTGGGTAGTCCAGATTGTGGTTCCTTGTGTAACCGGTGGGTAGTCCAGATGGTGGTTCCCTTTGTAACCGGTGGGTAGTCCAGATTGTTGTTCCCTGTGTAACCGGTGGGTAGTCCAGCTTGTGGTTCCCTGTGTAACCGGTTGGTAGACCAGATTTTGGTTCCCTTTGTAACCGGGGGGTAGTCCAGATTGTGGTTCCCTGTGGAACCGGTGGGTAGTCCAGATTGTGGTTCCTGTGTAACCGCTGGGTAGTCCAGATTGTAGTTCCCTGTGTAACCGGTGGGTAGTCCAGATGGTGGTTCCCTTTGTAACCGGTGGGTAGTCCAGATTTTGGTTCCCTGTGTAACCGGTGGGTAGGCCAGATTGTGGTTCCCTTTGTAACCGGTGGGTAGGCCAGATTGTGGTTCCCTGTGTAACTGGTAGGTAATCCAGATTGTGGTTCCCTGTGTAACCGGTGGTTAGTCCAGATTGTGGTTCCCTGTGTAACAGGTTGGTGGTCCAGATTGTGGTTCCCTGTGTAACCGGCAGGTAGTCCAGATTGTGGTTCCCTGTGTAACCTGTGGGTAGTCCAGATTGTGGTTCCCTGTGTAACCAGTGGATAGTCCAGATTGTGGTTCCCTGTGTAACCTGTGGGTAGTCCAGATTGTGGTTCCCTGTGTGACCGGTGGGTAGTCCAGATTGTGGTTCCCTGCGTAACCGGTAGGTAGTCCAGCTTGTGGTTCCCTGTGTAACCGGTTGGTAGACCAGATTTTGGTTCCCTTTGTAACCGGGGGGTAGTCCAGATTGTGGTTCCCTGTGGAACCGGTGGGTAGTCCAGATTGTGGTTCCTTTTGTAACCGGTGGGTAGTCCAGATTGTGGTTCCGTGTGTAACCGGTGGGTAGTCCAGATTGTGGTTCGCTGTGTAACCGGTAGGTAGTCCAGCTTGTGGTTCCCTGTGTAACCGGTTGGTAGGCCAGATTGGGGTTCCCTTTGTAACCGGTGGGTAGTCCAGATTGTGGTTCCTGTGTAACCGCTGGGTAGTCCAGATTGTAGTTCCCTGTGTAACCGGTGGGTAGTCCAGATTTTGGTTCCCTGTGTAACCGGTGGGTAGTCCAGATGGTGGTTCCCTTTGTAACCGGTGGGTAGTCCAGATTGTTGTTCCCTGTGTAACCGGTGGGTAGTCCAGATTTTGGTTCCCTGTGTAACCGGTGGGTAGTCCAGATGGTGGTTCCCTTTGTAACCGGTGGGTAGTCCAGATTTTGGTTCCCTGTGTAACCGGTGGGTAGGCCAGATTGTGGTTCCCTTTGTAACCGGTGGGTGGTCCAGATTGTGGTTCCCTGTGTAACCGGTGGGTAGTCCAGATTTTGGTTCCCCTGTTTATGTGTTACTGGTGGGGGGAAATTGAGACATATATATATGTTGGTAGAGGTTGTTTAGTTTTTTACCACTGATAAATGGTGCATAATCAAAATTATTTGTTGCAAGACAATGATAAGACTAGAATATAAATCGACAAAAGATTGGCCCATAATAACTTGATTCAAAAATGGTTGACGATAGAAAAATAAGCGCTGGTACGTACATGTACCATGAAGTTAGGGGAAAAAACCCACTAAAAATAATTAAATAAAAAAAACAAACATTTCAATTCTTAACTGAATATAATACACATGTTTTACAGGTAGCAGCAGTTGATGATGACATCAATGAAGAATGTGAAGGAAAAAAGCGAAGAGAAATTCTGTCTAGAAGACCATCATACAGGTGAGGAGGGAAAGTGGCGGGGAATATTTCTGCAATGATGATTTTTCTCGTGGAGTGTGTTAAAGGTTTTGTAAAAAGTGTTTTTCCTGTCTATATAATTGAGGTTGGTAATTGTCCCCATTCCGAATGCAATTGACCTAAGTTAATATTTTCCACAGAATCAAGTCTGAAATTCCAAATATGTTATAGATTTCATGAAACCTAAAAAATAACCAGCATGTTTTATAATCTAGAAAAATATCACCGTTGTTTGTTTGGCCTACTACCATATCATCTCCGTAGAGTTGTGTACAGGGCTTAAAAAACATACTGATAATTGTCAATTTGTTAAACAACTGAGCGATAAAAGTGTTTACCAGTTTGCACGGCCGCCCCAATGTCCGTCTATCATTGAGAAGTATTACACAAAAATAAAATAAAATGGAAAAAGGGAAGTTTTGGCATAAACCAAAAAAATATTTTTACAACACATCAAAATGTTCCCAATTCCCAATAAAAGGATTCCCAAAACATTCAGGAAAAATAATGCATTGTTAATTATTTAAGTCAAGCGAGCAAACAAACATAAATCCCCATTATAAAAGATCTGCTTTACAGTACAATCACCTGCTTCAAGTGCTACTTCCATTTATCCCATATATATGAAAAAAGTGACTTTCTTCAGGTTTTGTAAATCTTTTGAATACCATAGGGTTGAACTAAAGATTGCTATTAATTTTTGTGTATACTAAATAAATGATTAATAATGTTTCTGCTTTCTATCAATAGAAAAATATTAAATGAGTTGTCATCTCCGGTGACTAAAATGGAGGAGGAGTCCAACAGTAGCCAGAGTCAAGATGGGGAGAGTCAGGAGGCTGCCACTAATCTTTCCACTCACAGCGGTGTCCAGTTTCAGCAAGGTGACCGTTAGTATTCAGCTTTATATCTTTTGGCTTCCAGCCCCCCCCC